AAACCTCAGTCGTTTATCATGTCACAGCAGCACACTGTCCTCCCTGTCCTACGCTGAAGTAAAGGACGCCACCAGCATTCACCAGCTCCCCACAAAAAATGGTCCGCATCATTCAACTGGGAGGAGTAACCTCACCTGGCCAGGTTCTCACCTCCATGGGTATTTGCCCTAATGCCCAACCTTTATGTCACTGAGTCATACAAAATTTCCTGGCTCTAAAAACTCAAAAGACCTCTTGTTTGACACTTCATGTTCCCCTAATTAGCTCATCTCTTTTGTCTTTTTGTCTCTGAAGGGATTAAGCAAAAACAAAACAAAACAAAACACCTCATAAATACAGACAACAGTAGGCTGATTACCAGAGGGAAAAGGGGATGGGGGAATAAGAGGAGGGTAAAGGGGGGATAAATGGTGATGGAAGGATACTTGACTTGGGGTGGCGAACACACAACACAATATACAGAGGATGCATTATAAAACTGTACACCTGAAACATAATTTTATTAACCAATGTCACCCCAATAAATTCAATAAATAAATAAATAGTAATAATAAAAGCTATTCTGCTGCTCTAGAGCTAAATTCTTTAAGTTGTACTAACTGGCTCTGGCTGGTGTGTCTCAGGGGACTGAGCCCCAGCCTACAAACCAGGTTGCAGGTTCAATTCCCAGTCAGGGTACATGCCTGGGCCACGACCCAGTAGGGGGTGTGTGAGACAACCAAACATTGATGTTCCTCTCCCTTTCTCCCTTCCCCTCTAAAAATAAAACATTAAAATAATATAAAATAAAATAAACAAAATAAAATATAAACAAATTGTCCTAAATGGCCTCTACAATCAAATAGTAACAACCATCTTTCCTCCAATTTCCAAGCACAATAGCTAAATGAGAGGGCCACCTCATGAAATAAGTAAGCATGAAAAAATAGTGGCAAAAAAGATTTTCAGATGGCTACTTAGGTTTTAGGCCACTAAAGGATAAAGTCTACTTATAAGTTGAAAGGGAAAATAGCCCTGTGAAGCAGTGCCACAATTATGAATTTTGATTCCTCAGTGTTCTCTCTGCTGCATCACATGGTTTAGATTCTAATCTCTCCCTGACAGCACTCACTTGCCTAATTATAAAATTTTTTTGATTTTTCTATTCCAGCTCATTACCATAGAATGCCAGAAAACCAATTCTTAAAATACTCAATAAACTTAAAATTTACACAAAAACCTGCATGTGTATAGCAGCTTTATTCATTAATTGCAATTTGGAAGCAACCACAATGTCCGTTAGCAGGTTAAGGGATGAAGTGTAACAAATCTAGACAGGCAACAGAATATGATTCAGCACTAGGAAGAAATGAGCTATCTAGCCATAAAGACATGAGAAAACGTGTATTGCTAAATGAAAAGTCAATCTTAAAAGGCTACATACTGTATGATTCCAACTAAATATCATGAAAGAGATAAAATCATGGAGTAAAAACATCAGTGGTTGCCAGGAGTTGAAGGTAGGGAGAAATGAATGGGTGGAGCATAGAGAATTTTAGGGCAGTGAAAATACTTTGTATGATACTGTCACGGGAAAGTCATTGTTATACATTTGTCCAAACCCATAGAACATTCAGCAGCAAGAATTAACCTTAATGTAATCTATGGGCTTTGGATGATTATGTGCCAATGAAAGTTCATCAATTGTAACAACTGTATCACTCTGGTGGGAGATGTGGATAATGGAGAATATGCATGGGTAGGGGCAGAGGGTCTGGGGGAAATTTCTCAATTTGGCTGTGAACCTGAAACTGCTCTAAAAAAGTCTTTTAAAAAAATTCATATGGATCAGTGGTAGAACTTACCGCACAACTCATGTTTTCAGGCTGATCAAGGTTAAAGTGTTATACTCAAGACTATACATGAGGAATCAGGATCACGTTCTGATTGGGTCACATTCAAGACACAGCTTTATCCAATGTGTTCGAATATACGACTTTGCAGTATGAATATGTATATATACAAAATTCATGGTACTTGAAAGGCTTCCATAGCAACGGAAATGAGTATCTTCCATCTCAGACTAAGCTACAAAGACAAATAATCTGAAGGCAGTAACTACAAGACAACCAGTTGAATAAACTTTTACAAAGCACCTATGATATGGAAAAGACTGTGCTCGTGCTGGGTAGTGACACTCTACCCCACGAAGGAGCAAGAGGGATGGTGTACTGAACCAACACCTGGAACAGATGCTTGCTTGTTGCAAGTAGTCTCTGCATTATGGGATGTTGAGAACCATCCCACCTGACCAGGGACCTTAGCGTCGCCAACAGGTGAGAGAGCCCCAAGGCTGGAGCTGAGCAAGGAGCCTTGGAAAAATAGGCCACAAAGGAGACAAAACCTGTCCCCGTGGCAGGGGGCAGCCCCTGCCTCCTCACATCACCCTGCTTGGCCCCAGAGGATGGCTGGTTAATCAGTGACGGGTAAGACCCCATGTTGGCAGGGGAAAACCTGAGACAGGCACGGTCTCATGGGGGTCATCACGGAAGGACTTGGGGGACCCAGAAAAGAGGCAGAGACCCTCACTCGGCTTTGTCATGGCCGGAGTCCTCATTCTATTTCAAAGAACTCTCCTTATCTCTTGGCTGCTCTGCTTCACCCACCTGGCTCTGGCTTAAAATAATACTAGAGACATGTATAGCCCTGATCTGGGTCAGGCAGTTCCTGGGGGGCAATAAAGCCTGGAAAAGGAATGTATTAAATCCTATGAAACCGGCTTTGCTAAGAATGCCCTTGAGTTAATGAGTACTGATGTTTGGGGTTCGAGCATAGAATGCGGTTTCTCCAGGTTTCAGGGCCAAATGGTCACTACCCTGCCTACCAGACCCTGACCTGAGGCCAATCTCTGTGTTCCTTCAATTGTTATCTGTGATCTGTTTTCTGTAAACATAGCATTTTGATAATGATGAGCTTTGCATGCAGCTGTATACCCCTGTGCACATCAGTTCTCAGTAAGCCATTTCAAGAGAAGGGCTCAGGGCATTCTCCACTAGAGGGAATCGCCACCCGCTTTTCCTGGCAGACTGCAAAGTGTCTGGAACGGCTTATTCTATCCTCCTCCACCCACAGCAACCCAGGGGACTCTGCGCAGAGTACCCCCGCATCAATGGGACATGCAGCTGGGGACATGCATCCACTGACTTGAGTGCTATAAACATCATTTCTCGTAGAACTAGTGCTGCACAAAATTTAATTTTTTATGATCATTGTCTACCAGCAGCTTAAAATCAAGTAAGAGCCAGTTCAAACAAAGTATAAGAAATCAGAGACAATATAAAACATCTATCCTAATAACTCATGTGATGTTTCTCCAGGTTTCAGGGCCAAATATAAGAACTTAGTAGGCAGTGGGGATAGAGCATAATAAATAAATCAGCACTACGGGGAAATCACAAATGGAACAAACAGTTAATATCCTAACGGTTTTTTTAATCGAAGAATTATTTCTCTCCCACCATGCTCAGTCTTGAGTGGATCATTTCATTCAACAGGAGCTACAGACTAAAGGTTATTTTGAAGAGCAACCAAAAATTGTGGTCCCACAGAAGTTCAAAGAGTGATTTCTTCTTTTTCCTGACACCTAAGTGTAAGAGAGTTATAACATGATTTTATCCTGCGAATCCATCAAGGTCTACAACTTGAACAGAAATGTTTATTTTCACAATACGGGACCTGAAGGCGATGACAGTGTAGTCTTGCACAGTGGAGATCAGGGGACTTCCCATGGCATCTGTGAAAAGATGGCCATGCATTTTCATGCAGCGTAAAGGATCAGAGAGCCCTCCATGGCAAAGAGGCTACCAAGCCATGCTCTGGAGCCACACGGTCCAAAGGGTAGCCACAAGCCACATGTGACTGTCTAAATTTAAATAAAATTAAGTAGCACTAAAAAAAAGTGGTCTATTGGCACCATTTATACTAGTTATTCTACCTTTAAGCGAAAAATCAACAACAGGAATATGATTTAAGACTTATTACAGTAAAAAAAAGTCAATTATAGAATCTACATTGGCATATGGATGTTCATTTTACAATTCTATGTTTGAAAGTTTTCACAATACAATGCTGGAAAAAAGTGTTTCCTAATTAAATAGGACTACTAAACTCAGTTACACTTGACAAATCTCAGGTACTCAGTAGCCACACGCAATAGCGAGTGGCTACCTTTTTGGATTGCATAGACAGAGCACGCAATAATCTCAGAGAAGTTTACTGGACAGAGCTGCTCTAGTCTAGCTGCTCAGGAGTCCTGTCAAAACTGCGAAGACTAATTCTTTCACCCTAAAGTCAGACCTGACTCATCCCTGGGGCAAGTGGATTATACTACCAGGACTTTAAACATTCTTAAGAGTGGGGGTTCAGGCTGAAGAGTAACAGGAGAAATAATGAAAGGTCAAGTCTATCAGAGGTAAACAGGGAACTGATCTGAGGGGAACTCAGATTGAAGGGAACTGAGAAATATCAATGGGACCTGTGCTCATTAGGAGTTAAAATATGTAAATATAGACACATTTAAGCCTAAATTTTAAGTAACTTTTTAAGCTGAGAACTTATTTAGTTCCAAAGGATACACAAAATATATATTTATGAAATAAGGAATAAGGGCACAATAAAAAGTGTGCCTAACTTGGGGTACTGATTTTACCTTTGTCATCCTTCAGGAAATCACCGCTTCTAACAAAAACATTTCAATGTAAATAACCCCTGAGGAGTCTGCGATAAATGTAAAAAATCCAGAACCTTCTGTAAACAACCTCTATAATTACCAAAAAATTAAATCCCATCAGGTATGAAAGAAATAAAGGAAGAGCTACAATTGCTTTATTCTGGCTACATATTTCTACCTGGAAGAATTTCTGCCATAGCACAGACCTCCTACAACAGTTTCTTTATTACCTTTAAAGTGATAGGGGGCATAGCCTCCTGAAAAAAGGCACTCTCCCTCCAGGCTTTCAGGCTTTGGTCAGTTTTATTGGCGCAAAATTTCAACAAAAGGTGTCTTTTATTTACAAATTTCATGTGTGTGGGGACTGCCCAACCTGCTTGGACACAAGTGACGATAACAATTAAGCCTACTTATGTGTTCTCCTATTTTCAATTTGCATACAAAAAAATTTGTTTGCTTCACATACATAAAAATCCCGACATTGTAAATGACAAATAACCTGCCTTACCAATCCCTTAATTAAATATAAAAAGAGTTTCAAAAAACATATAATTTAGATTGGTTTAATCTTGAAATGTAATCCAATAAGACTAAAAACTAAACATTTCAAATCCTGTACCAAATAGTAAAATACTCGAAGGCCTTCAGGATCCCTGAAATTTAAAAAAGGTAAAAGTTACTTTTTTGCAACAACATAATTCTATAAATTAATTCCTAAAACAAAACAAAATCTAAAACAAGTTAAAGGAGTCCATGATACCATCTCTAACTTTTCTGTAAAAAAATATATTTTATTCACTAGTATTCATCTCATATTTAAAGTGTTTACTTTCTTATAAACAGCTATGCATCACAAAAATGTATAAAGCAGATAAAATTATAAAGATAGAAAAAATTATATTCATACTATATAATGTCACTTCTCACAGAATAACTAAATTTTGGTGTTCCTCTTTTTTTTAATAATTAAAATTATTCCCTGGACCCCTTTTAACATTTGTTTTTCCATTACATTAAAAAAAAAATCCACAAATAATTCTTAATTTAACAATTCTCTATTTGTTAGACATTTGGATATTTTTCCAATTATAAATAAGGCTTTAATGACCATCTTTTTAAATGATAAAGCTTTTTCATTACTTGAGACTATTTCCACAGAACAGACACTCAGAAAAAAATTCCTAGAGTGAAGATAAGTGAAAAGACTAATGAAATATTAATAGTTTTTGAAGCAAATTATCAAAATGCTTTCTAAAAACACATTGTACCAATCTATAATCCCAGTAGGAAATGAATGCCACATCTTTACCAACTGTGGGAAAATAAATTTGATAGTTTAAAAGTATCTGGTCAGTCTTTTTGAACTTAGCCTCTTATACCCCATAGTTATTAGGCATTCATTCCTCTCTCCTTTCCTCTAATAAATATTCATAAAGCACCTCTTATGTGCTGGGCACACTGCTAATTTTGGAGATACACGAGGTTCCCATGGAGCTTCTATTCAAACCAGTAAAGCTAACAAGTTATTAAAATTTAGTGATTAAAAAAAGGACACTATGGGGACATTTTAAAGGGAAAAGGTGTAAAGGAAGAACTGGAGGCAGGGAGACTTTCCAGAAATGACAAAGGCATGTGCTACAGGGACACAGAACTTGGAAAGGTATACATAGCTAAAGCCATAAGCCAACTGGAATTTTCCGTGTATTTGAAGATTAAATCCAAGGAGGAGAATGATGCGATGTGGGGTTATGAGGGTGCTATCTGACAGGGATTTCTTTTAAATTTTGTGGCAATGCCGAGATTTTTACAAAAAGTAGCTAATAAAATTTTGGGCGTTATTATTCATTTTGTCAGGTTCAGATTTTGGGGGGGGGGGGCGGATCAATAAATACATTTCTACCTTCTTTGGCAGCAAGTCCTTAATGACATAAAAATCAGAATTACATCTGCATAATAAACTGATAGGGTGCCAATGAAATAATTAAACTATCTACAGCTCTAAAATGAACTTCTCTAATAAATTTTATCAATTTAATAAAAATGCTTTAACATACTCACTTTGACTGATTTACATCAATAAGAGAACCTATTTTTGATGTAGTAAAAGAAATGTGCTCATCTCCAATTACAATTTCAAGCTCCTGCAAAAAAACAGAGAAATGTCATTAATATAAAAATCCATCCCAGAGATATCTCTGTTCTTGCTAGTAAGGGGTCCCAATTTTAGCTGCGCGTTTTCTAACAGTAATGGCGGGGGGGGGGGATTAATATGTTAAATATAAACTGTGTCTATAAAACAAAAAAATAAAAACTGCATCATCTACGCAGGAATCCCCAATATGACAGCTAACCAAAACTACTCTCCAGGTATAAAAAGACACTATAAAACGAATGACATACTTATGAGTGACACATAAATGTTTTTTAAAATATCAGTAAAAATTAAAGGAATCACTTTGAGGCACAATGTTGTAAAAATAATATGGGTATAAGCCAATTTTAATAAAGTAAATAAAAACACATTATCCTTTTTACCAGACTCACAAAATGTAATATTAATAATAGTGCCACTTCAGTCCCTACTATATGTCAGGCCCTGCTGCTAGGGAATTTACAAATATTACCTGTAATCCTTAAAATATACTTGTCAAATAGATTTTATTAGCCTGCTTTTACAACCATGAAACCCAAGAGTCAGAAAGTTCAGGAAATTTTGTTTATATTTACAACCACCAATAGGTGATGGTACTGATATTTGAGTCCTGGACTATAAGACTAAAAGACTGACACACTTTTACTTCATAAAACATTAAATTAAGAACTAGTAAAATAGGCATAATATAACATAGATGTTCCCAATGTGCTGTACTTAGTGTACCAATTTTTCTCTATATTTATCTGCAAACCTGAAACCAACAATTAAGAGGCTATACCTGTGGTAATTTTTCAGGTTAAATAACAGGTGCCATTCAAGACAGTCTTAGCACATAATTGATCAGAAGACCTAATTATGCATAGTTTATGGCACACGCAAAATGCATAATTAAGGTTCTCAAGCAATTGTAAAATCTTTAATTTAAAGACCAACAAACAATTTCTGCAGCATGCCTAATCCTCTCTAAGAAGCATGACCACATTGTCAAGTGGCTAAATGAAATACTGGATTCTCCCTGAGTTTTTTAATACAAATGTACATATGTACATACACATAAAACAAACAGAACTGAGGTTACTTTTAAAAGCATTTACAATGCATAAGTAATGTTACCTATTTACCTTTGATTTCCTAAATAATGTTTCTTTAAATGGAAAAGTTACTGCTACAAAAGGTCAACATCTGTTTTCTTCACATTTTCCTCTAGTCATAGAAGGTGTTACAAAGTATACTCCTCAGGCAAACAAAAGTGGAATTAAATGTTTCTTTCTCCAAGGGTCATACCTCTTTTCTCCCAGAGTTCAAAAGGCCCATGTCAGAAATCAAACTCTCTATTGAGTGAAATTAGCCTTCAGAGCTCTTTGGAAGCCCTCTAAGATACAGCAATTGCTCTGAGGAGAATATAAGAGGCAAAAGCAGTGGTCAATTTGAACAAAGACACCTACCAAATTCCTCTCTGGGGCAAGGATGCAAATAAGAGTTCTCAAAATTATAAATTTGGAAAAACTAAATTTACATAGTCAAAGAGAACCCTGAGTCTCGATTTAACAGTTATCTATACTTATTCCTAATAAAATTAACATATAATAGAAATTACAACAGTGTGAAAACATCCTAACCCTGGCTGCGGTGGCTCCAAAAGACAATTCAGAAAGATAGCTAAATTTAGAGCTATGCACTGACTCCTTTATTACTAAGAGGTAGGTAGCATAAGGCTAAGAAAAAGAAAGTATTTACTAGATACCTACTAATGGAAAATTAGGAAACCAGTGAGTATCTATTATAAATAAATAAGGAAAAACATAATCATGTTAACAATTTTAATATTTATGCATTTAAAGACACTAAATACAAACCTGTCGGCCAACCCTGTCAGGGGGAGGCCACAAAGCATCATCCTCTTTTGTAATTTCGCTGTCATCAATAATTCTCTTCAGTTCTTCCATGACACTCTTGTGTACATAAGCCTGAAAATAAGTTATAATAAAAATTTCAAAATGCCTGTTTCTCACAACTCAGAAAGAAGTGATTAAACAGAATTACAAACCCCAAATATTCAAAGAGAGTATCACAGAAAAATTTAATTCTGATTCCAAAGTACGATGGAAAGGAATCAGTCATCTATCTTATGATTTTTCTTTACTCTCTTGCCCTTTCCTTTAATATATATTTTTCTCTCTTTACATCACTTAGCCCCCTTTTAAAATCCTGTATTCTGTCTTGGTAACATGGAACTCAAATCTCTTTAAGTGATTAATAGTAATGACAAAAAAATCTATGAGATGAACAGACACAAATGCAAGTACACATCATAGTGATCTTAACATTTTCTCATCCCTAACTTTTAAGCCATTGATTCAAAATTCTTACTATGCTTAAATCATGAGTACTGTTTTAAGTAGTGAGTAGAGCAAAAAGGCAAATTAATTATAAAGTGATATGTTCAAATGTAGAACTACAACTTATATTCAGATTTCTTCTTTTATTGTTACAGATACTACAATTATATCTAATTTAAATAGAATCCCTTTTCAATCTACAAATTGGCTTCTTCTTTACAATACAGCCATATATGCACTTTTTTAAATTCAACACAGACATGAGAAAAATGGATAACTGTAAAAAATCAGACATTCCAAAAGAACTTACCTCTTTTCTGATCATTACATCATTTTTATAATTGCTGTTGTTGGCATATCTAAGCTTTCCTGTGGGGAGTGGAAAAAAATTCAATCTATAACAGCAAAAACTGCTAAAAAAAAAAAATAAAGAAATGACATCGTAAGCAATTTTGAAGATAGTCCATTTTATACTACAACTTATATTAATTTTCCTTTCCTCCTAGCATAAGACCAATGCTAGAATGTAGACAATCAAAAATTTGCTGGTAAGTTGGCTGCAGTTGAAGTTAGGCAACTTTTAAAATATCCCATGCCTTTGATATAATAATAAATAATAATTTTTAAATATTCAATACATTTTTTAAATATTCCATGACTTCGGTATAATGGGAAGGCCATTTTCAAGGCCCATTTTCTTAAGTTACGTCCTCAACAAGGCAGGGGATCTGGAAAAGTAACAAACATTTCTTTTAAAGTTCATGTTTATGTCTATATTGGTGCTGATTAGCCCAGGACATTTAATCTAATCAGTTAAACAAACTTAACAGGGAGTTTTTACTCCCCAACTTATCCATGGTTAAGAAAACACAGTTAAGTAACTTGCCCAGGGTCACACAAGATTCAGATCTAGACCCACCTTCTTCCAATATTCATGCTTTCCCCATTACTCCAAAATATTCTCTTTTAATGATTTTCCTTCAAATTAATGTATGTATAATACCATGGCAATACTAATATTTTAGAATTGTGATTAGGAAGCATACAAACTATGTGCTGCTTCTACATAAAAGTTGACCAGTTTGTTAATATTTCATTTTAATCGACCATGACTTTGTACTCCCCGATGCATGCTTCTCCTCAAGGCTAATCAGTTACTCAGGTACACATGTAACGTGGTCCTGATACTCTAAAATGACAGGTAAACCTAATGAGGTGAGCCCCTTAGGAATCACTGCCTTTGTGACTCACTGGTACTGATAGAAGTGTGTGGATTGTGTGGAGGCAGATAAATGGATGAGAACCACTGGTCCGGCATGAAATTTCTCTGATAATATTAGACTACTTAATTTATGTGAATGGCTAAAAGCTGAAAATTATTCTAAGGCAAAGGCACTAAAAACAATATCACATATAAAAAGAACAGAGGGAGAATTCACATACATTGGTTCCTTAACTAAATTTAGAAGAAACATGGGGAGAAGGAAGGAGAATAAGGTGATTACAGTTTCTAAGTAAGCGCAGGGCTGCCCTTCCCTTGAGTTCTGCCTGAAATGCCTGATACTCTTCCCCTTTCCTACTAGGTGATCCTCGCCTAATTTTTCTCTCATGCTCTCATAGAACTTTGTCCAAAACATGGACATAGCACTTAACACTAATATCCCTACTGACCTACGGTTAGTTTCTAGTCTGTGTGACCCATCAAGACATACTTCCTTGCGGGAAATTAAATACTGTATCCTCGATTTTTTGCATTTACATGTTGCCCAACACATAATATGCATTAAAAAAAAAAAACAGCTACGAAAAGATCTATTTCAAGAGTCATTTCAACTGTCACCTTCTCTAGGAAGCCTTCCCCACTCCTTCACGCAGAACAAACCACACCCCTTCTTTGTATTCCTACTGCAAGCCTGGGAGAACGGCTGTACTTCAGGATCCAAAACACAATACACTCATTTGTCTACATTTTGGCCTCGCCTCTTCAGGGCGGGTCTTACTCGTTTCTGCTGCCTTACGTACAACGCCTGCGTGAATAAATGGATGAATGGGTGGCCCGATGGTTACTGGCCACCGGAAGATTTTAGGCATCCACCAGACCATCACATGTTGGGGATGTTCCTTAAAATGGGGTAGTATTAGGTCGATAAACTAGTCCTCTAAGGACCTGTCTGGTGAGCTGACTCCAGGATGCTAATTACCGTAGGTTCAACTTTCCTAACTGCCAGGATTGGCTTTTCTGAATTCCCTTTTACTCACAAAACCAGTTCATGCCCCTTGTATTCTCACGCGCCTATTTCCTTCGCCTGAAGCAGTGGCCTCAGCTCCCCCGGGACCACTCGCACGCCAGGCCGCCGGGGAGCTCGCCCGACGCCGGCCCCTCCGCTCACCGTCGGGCCGGAACTCGAACTCCAGAAACTCGTGTCCAAACTTGCCCTTGTGCCCGACATAGTAGCGCAGGTAGAAATCGCTAGCCATAGCCATTTTTGCCCGCAGAAAGCCCGCCGAAGGCTCGACAAACGTGCCACTGGGCGCCTAGCAGTGACGTCAGTGGCCCAGGATGATGGCGTCACTGCGGGCTCGCCTCTCCTCCCTCCCTGGTCCCCAAAGGAAAGCGGGGACGGAGTGTGGGCTTCTCAGTGTCCTGAAGGCCGGCGCAGAAAGGGCAGCAGCGACTTAAACTTGGCGGAACTAGGGATAGAAGCGTGTTATTTTCAAAATTAAGTAAATCACAGTGTAGTAAAGCACGGAAATGTGGAAATATGATAGCGTTTTTTATGGGATTAGAACTGAGTTTTGCAAGTCGCATCTGCTTTCCCGGTCTCATTCTTCTGTCAGTGTGAGTTGGGTGTGGTATTATCGGCCTTTAACTGGTGGGACTTAAATGTTAGACTCAAAACCATAAAAATCCTAGAACAAAACATAGGCAGTAAAATCTCGGACATTGCTCATAGCAGTATTTTAACCTCTGTATCTCCCCAGACAAGGAAAACAAAAGAAAAAATAGAGGGGGCTACATTAAACTAAAAAGTTTTTGCACAGCAAAGGAGACCATTAACAAAATAAAAAGACAACCCACAAAATGGGAGAACACAGTCACCAGTACATCTTATAAGGGGTTACTATCCAAAATTTATAAAGAACTTATAAAACTTACTACCACAAAAAATCCAATTAAAAAATGGGCAAAAGACCTGAATAGACATTTCTCCAAAGAGGATACACAGATGGCCAATAGACATATGAAAAGATCCTCAATGTCACTAATCATCAGAGAGAAGCAAATTAAAACCACGATGAGATACCAACTCAAACCTGTCAGAATGGCCATCATCAATAAATCAACAAACAAGTGCTGGTGAGGCTGTGGAGAAAAGGGGACCCCTGCTGCGCTGTTGGGAGGAATGCAGACTGGTGCAGCCACTTCGGAAAGCAGTGTGGAGATACCCCCCAAAATACAAAATGGATCTGCCATTTGACTCAGTGATCCCACTTCTGGAAATATATCCAAAGATACACAAAATACTAATTCAAAAGAATATAAGCACCCCTAAATTCATTGCAGCACTGTTTTCAATCGCCAAGATATGGAAGCAGTCCAAGTGTCCATTAGTAGATGAGTGGATAAAACAACTGTGGGACATTTGCACAACGGAATACTACTTGGCAGTAAAGAAGAAGAAAATATTACCCTTTGAGACAACATGAATGGACCCGGAGAGCATTATGCTAGGTGAAATAAGCCAGTCAGAGAAAAGACAAATACCGTATTATTTTGCTTACATGTTGAATCTAATGAACAAACTGAACTAACAAGCAAAATGTAGACAAACTCAGAGAGCAGGATGACAGCTATTGTGATGGGGGGCAAGGTTAGGAGGTGGAGGGACTGAGCAAGGACTCCTGGATGTGGACAACAGCGTGGTGATTGCAGGGGGAAGAAGGGGTTAAATGGTAATGGAAAAAATACAATAAAAGTTAAAAAACATAAAATTGAATATTTAAAAAAAATGATCAAATGGTGTAGCCCACACTTCTTACCAGAGAGAATTAAATTGGGGAAGTGGGGCATGCTCCTGTATGGGATGGACTTTGAAGGATGGGGAACAATAAAGAGAGCTTTTACAGAAAGTCTGTATTTCATCTAGCATTGATCATCCTTCTTTTACCAACATACAGAGTAGTCCTGTCCATTGATGACGTTTAGCCTTCAGTGGGATTTAGTAAAAAGAGTGGCAGTCAGAAGACCTGGGATTCATTCCCAGCACTTACCTTGGTTAAGTCACTGTCTCTAAGCTTGTTTGTTCATCAACCTAATGAATATATTGCAATCGACTTTGCCAACCTCATAGAATTGTTGAGAGCATCAAATGAGATAATGCATGGAAAGTGATTTAAAATTTATAAAATATTATATAATGAGTTTTATAAAAGGTCTCCCTATGTGCCAGAAATGGTTAAACACTTAATAAAAAGACCAAATTCTGGAAATACCTGGTAAAGCTGATAAATCAAAAATGTCAGAAATATAATCTCTCTTTTGGAGAAAGCCTGGCCAAGTGAGGAAAAGATCTAATTTTATTTCTTTTTTTTTTTTATGTGTGTGTGTGTACATTTTATTACTGTTTATGCCATTAGAGTTGCCTAGTTTTCCCCCTTTGCCCCCTCCCCCTGACTTCCACAGTCAATCCCGACATCATTGTCCATGGCCAGGACCCAATTTTCTTAGAATAAGCAATTAGTTTATCCAGTTTTCCAGACTTGAACCAAGAAAAACAAAATTATAGGTAAAAATTGAATATAACAATTGTCTTTTCTTTCCCTTTTCCAAAAACAAATACTAACATACAGTATGAAAGAACAATTTCATTATATTCCAATTTCCTCTTACCCCACTATGCTCCCATCCCACTTGCCTCTTTTCAGTTCCACAAAGTTTCTTGCTCCGGAATTTTCACACATGTAGCCCTGGAAGCCTCTCCTCAGTCTGTCAGGCTTACTCGGCCATCCCTAAAGTCTCAGTTTAAATGCCATATGTTCAGGCTGCTCCTCTGTTTTATACTCCCTTCTACTATCCTATACTTTTCTTCATAGTACTTAAATATAATGTGTAATTTATGAATGTTCACACAAATATGTATATAATGTCTTACTCTGTAGACTGTGATCAAAAGATATTTCTTTTATTCAACACCTAGTACAATATAATTCTGCTCAGTTAATGCTCAATTTTAACAATATATATTTGAATAAATAAATACTATGTAAATTTGACTCAAATGAACAGCCAAGAAGCAATGAGATTCCATGAGACTTTATCATTTTGTGCCAAACCACTCAACCTCCCTTCTCTCTACTGCCACTTACCACCCATTTAAATTCTGACTAGTCATTGTGGTATTCCTACAGGTGTAAGAATCATTATTTAGTTGGATGATTCATCATGACTCCATCGGGATTTTAACTCTTACAAAATAATTCAGCTGCCAGTCATCTTGCCTTAGGTGTCCTTCTGAGAGCACCGAGTAAGTAGTCTTTGAAATCACAGATCACATGTTCAGTTAAATTGCCACCATCACAGTTTCAGTATTCTGCAGTAGTGGACGACTACTATCCTCATCCAGCAGCTCACACAAAAATGATGACTTCAGCATTTTAGTCATGTGGCACTTGAACATCCATTGCTTTTTGGCATGTATGATTAACCAAGGTTTTCTTCTTGGCCACGTTAGACTTTAAATGAAAACTACATGAAAGATTCTAGGATAGGAAAGGGGAAAGAAAAGAAACTAACATTTATGGAGCACATATTGTGTGCCAGATGCAAATACATCCTGTCATTCAGTCCTCACAACAACCCTGTGAGGTAAGTATTATACCCATTTTATCTTTTTTTATGGCAATGTAGATTATCTCTTGAATTTTTCTATTGACATTACTTCCCATTTATTTACTTTCATCCTTCCTACCGTAGAGATTTTAGCAGCTGTATACCTAAAAACCCACTTTCACTCAATAAATATTAATTTAATGAAATAAGTTTCACAGTACACCAATGTATGATAGAAAATAGGAAGCTACTACCCTTCATTCTAGGGCATCCTTTACTAGGCTTTGTTAAAGACCCTCTTGCCTACTAAGCATTCGTGTTTGGTTTCCACCTTTCCTATTTATTAAACACACACAGTGTATGTATTATCAGCCTAGCTGAGGCTCTGTCTCCTCAGTCTTATAGGGACCAAGAAGCCAGCCTGATTTAAAAAAAAAAAATACATGTTGAAATGTTCTTAATCATAAAATGACCTCTCTAGCTTCTAGTTAAAAATAGTATCAGCAGGGGACACCTGCCTCAGCATTAGATAAAAAGGGAGCATCTTTCTCTCACCTTTGCCAAGGGGAAACTCAGAAATTTTCCCTCATCGTCCTCCTCCAGCCCTGCATGTAGGGACCATTACTGTGGAACTTCGCATCTGTCCTCCACCTTCTCTTTGAAGGATGACCTTGGTTCACATCTATATCCCTGAGCAAGTAGAACCTTTAATTTTCTTTCTCATCAACTCCTTTTTTGGCTTTCTGTTTCCTCATTTGATTCCAGTTTCTCTGGACCTTATAATGGTGTAGATAAAAGCATACTTCAAGATGCTTTTGGTGGGAGGGACCAGCTTATTTGTGCCAGGCCCCTCCAAAAGGGCAGGTTTCTAACACCTCCTCTGTAGTGGCACTGTGTGCCACTTCTATCCTGAGTCTTTAGGATTGGGACAACTTAAACGAAACTGTATTTCTCAAACCTAAGAGTATGAGGTGTGTAGAGTCTACCCAGCATCATTTCACACATCTGGGGAAATGCGCAGGGGTAGATCCATGCCCTACGTCCCACTTCTCCCTTTATGTCCCACTAGAAAGTCCATCCTCTGTTCTTAGAGGACTTGGTTTCAAGAGTATATAATCACACATCAATGTTCTTGCCCCGGGATCTTCAAAGGACGCTGTAGCTGTAGGAGAGGCTCTCCACGCTGACGCCTGCCACCGCTGCATACAATTCAGGAACCACCAACTCTGGTACCTGCAACACAACTTTGTCATCTGCGGTTCGAGCAGCAGTTTTTAGGCGTGAGCACAGCTCTCTAAGTGAGGGGCGGCTGTCCTCCTTCCAGCGCCAGCAGGACTTCATAAGGCTATACCTGAAGGGGACAAAAGAAAAACTGACTTGCTTGGCAAGGCAAATGTATGAAAAACATGTCTCCTTACCTAATAAACCTTGACAAAAAAAAAATCCCTGTAATTCTTTAATCTACTTTTCATTGTCCTGACTGCTATATTCTTCCCAGAGATTAATAGTCATTGCATCTGCTTAATACTAAGTCTCTTAATATCATCTTCTCAACAGAGCCCTTTTAATCATACGAATGACTGAAGATTTCTCAGGCTACGATCAGTATAATAGAACAGTTTTTTCCCCCACTCTATTGACAAAAGCCCTTTCAGAAGTCCTGTCCTCATCTTCAGATGCTGCTAACTTGCAGCATTCCAGACAATTGCTACAACTTATCTACCAGTAAAAGATATATTGCAGCCAGGAAAATAAGAAGTTATGGTAGAGCATGAGGAAGGTATTCAATAATACTGTGATAATTATGTATAGTTACCAGGTACTAAACTTATTGTGGTGGGCACTTCATAAGTTATGTAAATGTACAATCACTATGTTGTACCCCTGAAACTAATATATTGTATGTCAACTGTAAATGAAAAATAAAAAAATTATTAAAAACATACGAAGTTATGGAATATTATTTGTATTAATTTTGGATAAAGTAATTAGGTCTTCCATTAATCCCGGTCATTTTCCCCCTTTGTAATTTACCTTCTTGGGGAAATTGCTTTAATCTACATAGAAGTATTTATCGCCTTTAATGTAGCTTTTCTTCAGTCCAGTCTAGTGCATGTGCAATGCTGTTTTCATGTTCATTACACACCATCCTTGCCGAAGAACTCACAGTGGTTTCCACGGGGTATGAGGTGAAGTCTCACATCCCTGCGAAGTCCACATCCTACCCACAGTGGTTTCCCACTGTGGGAAGGGCACTTCCCCCCGCTGCTCCACCACAGCGGCTGTGCCTAACTGAGCCCTCTCCTTCAGCCAAGTCCGAGTCCCGCCATGCCCTGGGTGTGGTTATTAACGCCCGATTCTGTCTTTTCTCATGCTGTCCCCAGGTCCTTGAATATCCTCTCTGTGCGCATCAGACAGGCTGGTTTTAAATGTTAATTTATCTGTGAAACCTTCCCTTATAAACTTTGGCGCCCCCTCACCATATTCCCCACACGCATTAGTGTTGTATGATGAGATTTTGTAAAAGATGCTGTTTTAGTAACATTACTACTATTTAAATTGACTTATTGTATAAGTCATGGAAGTGGAACTTAATATGCATTATTTCATTTTAGGTTCTCAAGAACTTTGAGGTAGGATTACCCTACCTATTTTAAAATAAGAAAGCAATATATAGTAAAGTAGCAGGGCTAGAACCGAACATATGTCTTTTTGACTCTGAGAAGAATCTGAGCTTTTAATCATTTTAATTATTGCCTGACATTTTACGATTATTTTCATGTTGTTTCAGATATCTCCTCATCTAATGTTAAATTCTTCAAGATTAGCTACTTTATTATTTAAGTGTCTCCCCCAGTATCAAGGGCAGCCTTTTATACATAGGAAGTCTGCAAAAAATATCTGTCAGCAAATTTATTTTAGTATACCTAGCCAGTATTGCTGCACTGTGTGTATTTATAGTTATGACAGTTAACATTTATAATCTGGTTGATATAGTAAATGTTTATTGTAGAGAAACCTACCTTGAAAATTACCCTTTCAATGCTAAAAGATTTGTAAAATAGCAACAATTTTAATGGAAATATATAACAATATATTATAGTCTCTCCTGCCTTCTTATAAATGATTTAATCTTTTCTTATGTTCTGTAATCATCTCTTTTGTATTTCATTGGTTAATAAATTCTGGGCGTAATTTTGAATTTCTCCATTTCTGGCATCTCCATTGGTCGACCAGCTGTCCCATTCTGCTGACATTATTGGGTCCTCCTTCATGTATCTTTATAAATTTTCCCTACCTCCTTCTTCCAGTTGGCTTCTAATGTGCTCAGAGCTGAAAAATCAGATAGTTAATACTTTTTAAAAGTTAAATATTAAATAAGAGCCAATGAATAACTCTAGTGCATGGATTTTATGGCAGCTGTGTTAGAATTGAGGCTGGTAGTCTCTGACTGAGACAGACATTTAGACAAATAAAATACTACTGTATATGCATTGGATTTGATCTGCTTCTTACCTATTTTAGAAGCTTCTGGAAGAACTGAACTTCATCAAATATAGATTTCTAACATAGTTTTTGGTGGCTGCACATTGTGTGTGAGTGTATACATGTGCATATGCATTATGCACATGTATATATGGTATGTATGTATGATATATGACATATGAGCAGATGTGTTTTACTGCATAAGTTTGCCGTAGGGATGTACATTAGCACATAAAGGACAGCTGGAGATCATACGAGGATTGATAGGGAGCAAAAGAGATTTGGAGTGAGAGAAGCATGGGCCTTAAAAGTCACTTACATGGTGTGTGTGCAGCTACTGGGTCTCTTCATGATTCTCCCTCTTTGGAGATGCTGTAGAATGCTGAGAGGAGGGACTTCAGGATATGGCGGTGCCCCTGTTGATATGGAAAGAATGAGAGTAGCAGGAGAACTTCGGTCCCCTGGAGTATGAGCTATAACTACACTACTCCCCGTCCACCTGGGCCAATTGCCTACAAAAGGTAAGTGAATATAAACCATAAGAAAAATAATAGATACAATGTGGTTGCTCTCTAGTGATCAACTAAGGATTTAACTTAGAGAAATTTGGGGGGTAAAAAAGTGTTTGGGGGAAAAAACCGATAATTTAGGAGAATGTGGAGTCTTTAGGAAAGTAACAAAATAAAGCAAAGGAAAGAATGACCTGCTATCCACTCCCCACCTGTGGGGAGGTATTGCAGTTTCTCAGTCAAATGAGTTAATAAATCTGAAGACAACACTTTTATGTTATTGAAGATCACTCCTGGAATTATCCTTTGTATTTTAAGATATCCTTGGAATTGGTAAAGTGTTGAGGGGAAAAAAGATAAAGAAAGCAAAAGAAAGTTAAAAGGAGAAGGATTTCACGTCAGCCCAATTCAAACCTCAGAGATCGTACTGAAACCCTTCCTAACAGCATATGCCATCCATCACTCCAGCAAACATACTTGCATACAGGTACATACCTAGAGTCACCATCTCATAAAGCAGGATCCCAAATGACCATCTATAAAAGAACCAAAGTCATTTACTTTATTTTTATGTCTGCTTTTCCTAAAGAGAGTCCGCTTAAATATGGAGGGCTTCAGGAAGAGCCCTATAAGGAAGGCAATCAAAGAAAACAGAGGGTGTCTGATAAAACACCCCAAATAATAGTGCCATTAGAAAATATTTCTGTCCAATCCCCTTAGAGTCTAATCTCTTTGAGGATTGGATTTAGGTCTCTCTTTTTTTCTATATTTCATAGCAATAAGTGTATACTATTATTGACAAAATTATGGGTGTGTTGTTTATGCAAATACACAAACACATTCAACCAAACATACAGAAATTCCTCTCTGCACATTTTTCATCCTTTTCATTCCTTCCTACAAAAATTCAAGCCTATATTTTTAGCACAAGGCCAAGGGAGGCTTGTAATTTCCCTACTTTTTCCTCAGCAGATCTAATAGCCCAAACCTAGGATAAATATTAACAGAACAAGCTTTATACATAATTGGAATACATATTTCCCTAAGCAATATAATTGGAGAGATGTCTATTTCACCACTGTAGGACATCATCATTAAATGAGTACTATTCCCCAGTTAAGCTTCTCACCCCTAGATTTCTATCGAAGAGCAGTTGTCAGTGAAGCAGCAATGGAAGTCTCTCAACCACATTAACCGACATTTTAAATTTTCTCTGCTGCTCATGACATTCGTGGCTAGTAAAATAATCTATGTTACACCAATGCACTTCTCCGAGGAGTTGAGTTATATGGTTACCAAAAGTCAACTGTGATTCTTTCCCCTGTTTATGCCAATCATACATTTAATTATGTAATCAATTAAATATTTATTAGACAAGCTAATTAAATATAAATTTAAAAGCATATTAGTTACCTGAAAAGTAAGTTAAATGTTTTTAAAATATTCTATAAAAATAAGCTGCTAAAAAGAAAGTGGCATCAAATTGTGTCACTGACACAATTGTAAGAAATTAGGAAAAATAACAATAAATGTCTGTGGCCAAATTGCTTCACATCTGTTTTCAAGTGTCTCACTCAGAATCATCCCAAACTGAAATGCAAAAATAATTCATTATGGATACTATTTAGTTAAGAAACAACATATAACACCATTTTCCAGGTCCATCCTCATAAACAAGGCCTCAGCCCTCCTCCAAAAGATCAATAAATAAATCTTCATCTAAAAGTTTTAAGTTAAATTATTTGACATACGTATATTTTTATTTTAATAATTCATGGTTTAACTGGACTTTGCATTGGACCCACATCCTTCAAATAAAAAGGACTCTGCTAGATATCACTGCGAATAATCTTTTCATTTTTCTTTTTGCTTTCTTAAGTAAGGCTGCTACTCTAACACAGAAAGAACATTTCAAAAGGCAGGAAAAGCGGTTGCCGCCAGATGCCAAATATGAGCTCTGTCACATAATACACATTTCTGCTTGAGAGTCTGCCTGACTTCTAAGTAGAGGTTTCATTTGTAAACATGATTGACAACAGACACTGTCATGGGCAGGGACTAGAGGACGTGTGGGCCAATAAGGAGAGAAATCCAAAGGGTTGGAACAAACCGTACATGTCTCCTCTGACGCCAGCTGGCCTCAGCAGAAGCCGTTCTGGGGCGAGCCACTTGAGAGGCAGGGTGCGAGTAGAGGAGACCGCTCCTTGAGTGTGGACTTCATAAGCCAGGCCCAGCCCACAGAGCTTAGCAGTAAGGTCGCTTCGGATCAGAATATTCCTGGCTGCCACATCCCCATGGAACAGATGTTTATCCTGAAGAAATTCCTGTCGATGTAAAATCAAAGATAGATCAGCTGCCTGAGGTCACGCTTGGATCACACACAAGGAGAAGCAGTGCTAGGAATCATAAAAAAGACAAGAACATTTCCTACTCCAAACAAGTCTCATTAATATGACATATCTCTAAATATATATGTGGGCATACTTATAAATATGTATATACACATATATATAAGCATATGACTTCCAAGTCATAATAATGAACAAAACATTTTGCAATTCTCCAATGAAACGTGTTCTGAACTAGTATTTCTTGTTTTTTATTTTTTTTAGCTATAAAATTGTTTAGGATTACCAAACTATGCAAACAATCCAAATAATACTAATACTGGGTTTGGAATGCCCAGTCACCTCTGTGTGGCAAGTCCTAACCCCTGCGAGATTTCATCTGTCTCTCAGGTAGGATCCAGCTAGCAACAGGAAAAGGGAGTGGGTTTCAGGTTTCTAGTGGCATTCCCCAAAACAAGGTAATCTATACACAGAAAAATGAAGTGTCATAACAATACATTTATATGGAGTTTTACATCACTTCATTTTGTTCCTAAAATAATGAGATGAAATGAGTTAAGGAAGTATCTTTCAGATAAATCTAAATGATTACACAAGGCCACAGGCCACACAGTTTAAGCCAGGCTGAAAATCAGAATTTCCTGAGGATTTCCTAAAAATGTAAGATTTTTACTCTATGTTTACTTAACTGAAATTTAGGCAGAGGGGCCTGGTAATCTATATTTTTAATGAATATTTAAATGATACTAAGCACAGTCAACAAGGCATTTGAGAACCATTGCACCTGGATGACATTGGATTTCTAGAATCCTTTGCCCCAACATCAAGCTATTCAAGGCATATGGAGAAATTGGAAAGCTATACATGACCAAAGAGCTAGAAATTGAGGTCTATGGTCACCAAACAGCACGGTATGAAAAAATGAAAGATCGAGATGGTAATTTCCAATCGATGATGAAGGAAACAGTGACTAGCAATTTTATGTCTCTGGTGGGGTTTTAGAACAAAGCAGTTATACTATAATGTGAAGAATTAAATAATGCAGTTACTTTGGGGTTGTGAAAGGTAAGAAAAAAAATAGTATGATATTGTCTTATACCTAGTAACCTAGGGCCCTGATGAAAGCATCCATGGAACCAGCGCATCCCAACAGGGCACCTCTGCCTTTATGGTCCAGAAGACAAGGTGGGTGTGTGTTGTCACCCTAACTTAGCAAGGAAATATACCAACTAGGTCCTCCAAACCCCAGGGGTAATATTCACTAATGTGATATGTTCTCGCTCCTGCTCCATGGAAATCTCAACTATAACTACTGCTCTTTTCTCTCATCTCATCACTTCTGTTTTGCTAAGCTTTCCCTTATTCCATTTAGATCCCTGGGGTATTTCACCCCTCCAGGTGGCAAAATACATAAAATACTTAAAGTAGAAGCTCCACAGAGCCCTGATTTCCTATAGCAAATACTGTTTTAAGTATGATTATCTAAATAATTTTATAGACATAGTCATCTAAATTTCCTAAGTAATTATGGTAAAGCTAATTTTTTTTTCTCTTAAACCCTGAGTTCTTCCTTCTTTTACTTCTTTTTTTAAGTTTTTTTTTTTAAAAGGAAAGATTTCACTATCACCCCTTCTTATTCCTCCTTTTTCATGTGTTTCTCCTTTTTAAATCATATGTATTTCCTATCATATTCAGTATCAAAGCAGGTTTCTAACCAAACATGTTCTGAACTAGTATTTCTTGTTTTTCAGGTATAAAATGGCATACTTCCTTCTGGTTCTGTAGCCTTTTACCCGTTTAGTTTATCTTCTCATATCATTTCCCAATCTGCTTCCCTATTTGTCCCTTTTACATCTATTAATATTAATATATAGGAAGAAGTAAGAGTATTGAGCTCTGGGCCCTGGTTTTCAAACGTTAAGACTGAGAAACCTTTTAAAACCCATCCTATTCCTTCTAAAAACCCTAAGTTGACTACCTTCCATCCAGAATTACCAATCCTGTTGTATATTATATAAGTAATTTCATAAAAATAAGAACTGAAAATAATTTCTCAGTGTTTGAGCTTCTGCCCCCTAACTTCCACCTGATTTTCTTTATAATACAAACTCCATTTAGGAATATAAATATGAAAAATCTGACATCGAATACCAGGCTAACAAGAAAAATCCCTACCATCTGTTGTCATTTTGGCCAGCTTACCAAAGCCGAGAGAACCTGCTTCCCAATGTGATATACTTGTTTTTCCGTGAGATCATAGAGAAGCCCATCCATGGTCATTACATCCTAAGGAGATAGAAAGGCATTATGTCAAAATGACATGAACAGATTTGAATAATAAATGTGGGCAGTGGTATTCTTAAATGCAGATATAAAAACTAAGAAAAAGATACTAAAATAGAATTCAAAGAGAGATTGATTTTAGAGAGTCTCAGATATGCAGAGGAATAATAAAGAATGTAGGTGAGTAGTAGAATGAAGGAAGAATTTCCTACAGAATAGCAGGTAAGAAAGCACTGGATAAAGCATCAGTTTTCTTGGAGGGATGTGTGTGTGTATTTAATTAAGCATATTAACTCAACATATTTTTATTGAATGCCTACTATGTACCAGATTCCAGCTTATGAACACAATATTAAGAGTGAACGAAGTAAACATGTCCATTGCTGTCTGGAGTTTATAGTATGGCAAACACATATGAATCGAAATCAAATAATCACATGTAAATGTATAATCACATATCTATAACAGCCATGAAGGGAATGTAAAAGAGAGAATATGGTGGTAGGGGAAAAAGCCAATTTGGCTGGTGAACAAAGAAAGCTTTTGATGAGATCTGAAGGACAAGTGCGCATTGACTATACAAAGAAGAGAAGGGAGAAGTTTAGTGTAATCAGAAAAAGCATGCAAAAATGATCTAAAATAGAGAAGCATAATAATTTAAAAAAATAGAAAGAAGCTAATGTGCTTAGAGCACAGAACAAGTTACAGATGGATAAGCTCTTTAAAAGGTTTAAAACACCTAGAGACTTGTACATTGTCCTATTTATATCACTGGATGGAAGACATCACCAGGCTCACTTTTTTGTACACATTTAGTAGTAAAATAATCAGCAGTTGAGGAGGCTTGCTTAATATCAAACTTGTTCACTGCCAAGCAAAGAACTGACCAAGGAAACATGTAGTGCTTCAGAAAGAGGGATATATAGAAAAATGGGAAAACTGTAAGGAGAAAGATTTGGACTTTAGCTGGAAATTAATTTTTTAATATATGAGTTTGAGGTACAAAAGCTTAAAAGCTGAATTTCTCCTCAACTCAGCCCTGGCATACTAGGGTGATATTACAGAATGCAAAACACACTTAACAATAACAGCAATCAGTAATAAACAGTTATGCTGTTATGTAATTATCATTATAACAGCTACCATTTTGAGTGTTTGCTATATACAAATGACTGCTGTGTTTTTACATATAATTTCCTTTAATGTTAATAATAATTTATTATTACTCCCATTTTACAGATTCAGAAAAATCAGGCTCAGATAGGTGACTTGCCCAAATTCACATAGCTAGCAGGAGGTGGAGCCTAAAGTCTATACTCTAAATCTGCACTGCCCAATATGGTAGCAGCCACCAGACACCCGTGGCTATTTAAATGTGAATCATTTGAAATGAAATGAAACTAAAAATTCAGGTTCTGAGCCACATCAGTCACATTTCAAGTGTTCCATAGCCACTTGCGATTACTGACTACCTATTGGACAGTGCAGATATAATACATTACCATCGTCATAAAAAGTTCTATTGCATGGTGATACTGAATTACTCTGTTCTGCTATCATATCTTTCTACTTTGTCACTCATCAGGTTAACTGACATGTGAACAGCTAATCAGCCAGGTAAAGCCTTTCCTTTCTAACACCTCCACCCTACTGCTCACCCTGCGACAGGTCCAGAGAAAGCTGAGCAGGTCTCCCTGGGCCACATCCTCCAGCACCATATACAGCGGCTCTCGCTCTGTGCAGCAGCCTTCCAGCTGTACCAGGTTCTGATGCTTCCCCAGGTACTGATGGAATTGGATTCGCCCTAAGAAATCCTGAACCTCGTGGAGCCCAGCTGGTTCTGTGGAGAACAGAAGAGCCACGAGCAGTGAACCATCAGAACATCTTGGATAAAATGGGAAATTTGAGGAAGGACGCAACCCCAAGTGATAATTCTCAAAGGTGTGAAGGGGAGTGAATATAGGCAAAAAAGCATATTAGAAGGGAACAAATTAGAGGATGATCCTCACTGATCTTTTGTCAAAGGTAACATGGAATCATAAGTTTTACAACTAGGTAGGTTATCATCTGCCTAAATAGGCAAATGTTTTCTTCATATTAAAATGTTATCATGGTCTAGGCCTTTTAATTAAATTCTTGCTTATCCTATCTTTTTTCTATGCACCCACCATTGCTGGCCCATATTATGAGCCAGTATGACTCATTATTATTATAATACTGAGTTTTGCTGAAACTCAGCAAATTATGAGTTTCAGCAAAAAAAAAAAAGAAAAGAAAAATATATATATATATAAAGATATCAAATAATTAAGGAAAATAAAGAATCAACTTCAACATCCTCATCCAAGTAATAACCGATACGTTAAAATCAGTTTGAACAACCTTGATAAGCAAGGTCGAGCTAAGGAAAGACATTTCTTTTTTTTTTCTACAGATTCTCTAGGACCAAGGAGAAGGTATCACTCCAGGTGTGCCTCACAGGTATGACCTGAAAATATTTTTTATTATTGATTTTTTTTTTGAGAGAAAGAAATAGTGATTTGTTTTTTCCATTTATTTATGCACTCATTGGTTGATTCTTGTATATGCCCTGACCTGACCAAGGATCAAAACTACAACCTTGGCATATCAGGACAACACTCTAACCAGCTGACCTACCTGGCCAGGGCCTGAGAAGAATATGTCTGTCTTGAATTTTTATTTGTTAATCCCTTCTTATTCTGCACACAATTATGATCACATCTATCTATTGATTAACATCTTAATGTCTGCAAAGCCTGTTAGCATTTACTGTTAGGGGGGCTCACAGTAGAAAAGTAAAAACGTAAAGGAAGTCTAACACTTCTCCTTTTACCTTTTAAAGCCTTGAGGACAATAATCTTGGACTTGTCAGGGTCCCCAGTGTGCATCCTGGTTCGATAGATGGCCCCACAACTACCATCGTAGATCTGCTCCAGAACTTCAGAGAGTTGCTCCCGGGGCACCTGCAGCTTAACCAGGGCCTGCGTGGAAGTTTGTAGAAGGCTTTCCACCGATGTCTCCTTAAGTGGTACAAACACACTTCCTCCATGTGCTCCTACTTGCTCATTTAGGCTCCTAGATGGCACAGGGACAATGCCTAGAACAAAAAGATGATACCAAACAGCTTCTTCCTACCTTCGATTTCAGAAAACCAGAGGTTGGAAAAAACTGGCAAGAAAGTTCCTTTAACAAGTTTTTTCTCCAGCCATTGTGGGGTTATCTTCTGATGCTTCTCTGTACCAACCGTCTAGAACTTTCATAATAATTCCATTACTTCTAAGACAACTTAAGGTGACCTCTGGAAAGTGGTAATGGCACTTCCTTTCTGTGTTTCTCAGGATCACCGTTCAGTATGAATGTAGTATTCAAATCACAGATACCTGTTGGTGGTGGTAACTGCCAGTGGAGATGATCATTTAAGTCCATCAATTGGCTCCCCAGTGTAGTGGGGAGGTATGGGTAACTACTCAGCTCTAAGCTATGGTTATTTTAACTCCTTCACATTGTCCCCATGGTGAAATTATTCCATATTTCTTAGAGTTTTATACAAAAAGTCTTTTGGTACTCCCTTCCTTCCTTAGCCACTTTTTCTCCATTGGAATAGAGATATTCATTCTTAATATTAAATCCCCATTCACTAATTCGTCGATTTATTCAACAAATATCACCTTCTACAGGCCAGACACAATTCTAGGTGTTGGGAATAGGCAAAGTCCAGGTTCTCATGAAAATTACTTTCTAGTGGTTGGGGAGAGGAAACAGACAATAATATGCCAGGTGATGAGTGTTATGGAGGAAAGCAGGGGAATAAGAAGCATCAGAGATACTATTTCATGTTTGAAGGTCAGGAAAGGCCTTTGTGATGACATTTGAGGAACACCTGGAAGCAATTAGCGAGTAAACCACATGGTATCAGGAAGTGTATCATAGACAAAAGGAACAAGGAATACAAAGGTACTGAATGAGGAGCATACCTGACATATTTGAGGAAGGGCAATGAAGTCAGTGCAGCTGGAATCAAGTGGAATAACTGGAAAACTATAGGAGAGGAGGCCAGGGAGAGCCCAGGTCATGTTACACCATGGAAAGAATTTTGTCTCTTTTCATTCTAAGATAGGAAGCTACTGGGAGTATCAAGCACAGAATTGACAGGACTGACTTATACTTTAAAAGAATCATTCTGCTACTCTGAGGAGAATATATGATAAAGGGAGAGGGGCAGTAGCAAGAAAACCAGCTGGGAGTGTATTGCAATGATCTATGCAAGATGAGAGTGGCATGAGTTAACTTTGAAGATAAAGTTAACAAGATTTGCTAATGAATTGGATATGAAGTATGAGACACAGAGGACTCAGGAACATCTTTATTGTTTTAGACTAAACACATAGGGAGTTTGGTTTGTCTTTTACTACGACTGAGAAAACTATTGGCAGAGGATACTTGTCGGGGAATCTTAGTACCTTTGCTATGGACATATTACATTTGAGATGTGTATTGGATCCCAACTGCAAAGTTGGTGGTTTAGGAGAAGAATCTGGAGTTCAAGGGGAGAGTATAATTAGACTAGAGAAAGCATTTGACTCTATAGGCTTAAAATGAGATCATTTAGAAAGTGACTGAAGAGTTAACGAAGAAAAGTGTTTCAAGAAGAAAGATACAAAATTGTTTCAAATGCTTTTGACAGGTCATATAAGGTGAGAACTCAACATAGCTGTCATTGGTGATCTTGGGAAGAGCAGTTTTGGTGGACTAATGGCGTTAAAAGCCCTTTTAGTATATTGAAAAGAAAATGTGACAAGTAGTAGTGAAAATAAGTTTAAAAAACTTCTTTGAGATTTTTTTTTACAAGAGTGAATTATAAGATAATTGGAATAAAATTTAGAAAGGGATTAAGGATCAGCCACTATAAAGTTTCATATTGCTGTCATATTTTTTCCTTCTTTTTACTGTTAGTTTCATGTACTAGCTGGTTGTCTTTCATTACAAGCACAGTGATACTCCAGAACAGCATGTTATCATCTCCTACCTAACACTTCAAAAGTTATTATGAAAGCTACCTCTTTTTGTCACATATTCCAGGGGCACAGAGTAGGACTGGAATGCATTATAGAGCAAGATATCATCCTTCAAAGCTGGTAACAAAGCCTCCCAAATACTTAGACATTCATAAAGGCAAAAATTTGATAGTACAATAAGACCAAGAGGACAGAAGCAGGTCACATGAGGCATCTCTTGCCTATTCTGGTTTCAGTTAACAAGCATATATAGAACTTCTATTCATGAGTTCTCTGCTGCCTAAAGAAGAGCTCACCCCTGTCCCAACTCCAAAGGAGGGGACCCATGCCCAGTCTCCCACTGCAGGGACCCAGACCTCTAAAGCTGGGCCCACTGATACTTGGGTTTTATTTTTCTGCGATCTCTATCTTCCCTGAGCCTCTGTCCAGCCCCTGTTTGAGCTTTACCTTGGAGTCCAGGAGACTGTTGCTGAGCTCTTTTTCCTCTGATAAAAAGCCACAAAATGACCCCAAGAATGATCAGGAAGATGCCAACCAGAAGGACTGGGATGATGATGATTTCATACTGGTGCTGCCAGACAACTGGGTAGGAAATTAAACAGGAAGATAAGAGATTAAAGAAGAAACCTAACCTGATGTTCACACAAGTTCCCTTACCCACCAGTCATTAGCTCATCATACTGAAATGGTTATCTCTTCTGTCTTCCTCTCCCATACAATGGAAACCCTATTGAGAGCAACATTCTAATTGGAAACATCAATGTCCCTCTTTCTTAGCCCAGAAAGTATGCTCCGTGGCTCTTCTCTTATTTTTCCTACTGAGATGAAGAATGCAACATCTGGATCTGGGAGGAGTACTCGCCACTTTTCATAAACAATGGCCTCTCGTGCCCATTTCTTTATCAATACTGTCTTTATATCTACTACAAATCAAAGTATCCCCCTCCTAGAATTTATCCAGACCTTAGTGTTCATTATCCTAAAGCCAGAACATAGACCTCTGTACTTACTACACAACTTGTCACTGAGACTGCATTCCAGTAGCATTCGCGTCGGGCTCTTCTTGTCTCCCATTGCCATTCCGCTGTCCACTCCTACGTTTGATCCACAGAGAATGCAGAGCACAGCTGAAAATTCCCCACAATTGAGTCGTTCTGAAGAAAATAGAATGGAGTGCACAGAGAACTCATGTACTCTGACGCGCAGCTGCAGATCACTAGATATTAAGTATATAGCTACCTGAAACTTGAGTCATACATTAATCTCTATCTGCCTGATATTCAGGCCGGAAGAACTTTTGCTGGCATTTTCCTTATAGAGCAAGTACAACCCTGATCTGGTCTTATCCTTTCATGCCATTGTTTCCCAAATTATTTTTTCTATTTCCTTTTTTTTTTCTTTTTTTATTAAACCAAAGTATTTTTAAAGGCTCCCCTCCTACCCAAGAGCCCTGCTCCAGTGCTCAAGTACATGTTCACAGCACCTGTCTGGGCAACTGTGGCCCATGGGTTATGTGGGAAAGATTCACCTCCCCTAATTTTCCTTATGCAGGTCTAGTTTATTTTGTTGTGTATCACTTATTTTTAAAACAAAATACAGGGTGGGGTAAAATTATGTTTACATTTGTTCCTATGGAAAAGAATACAACAATGAATAAGTAATAAGAACAAACTCTGTGTTTCACATATTCACAACCTTCTTTTGCCCAACCCTGTATTTCATTTTTCCATGAAGATAATGGAGATGACGAATAAATAGTTGGCAGATTTCAAGAGAGAACGAGTTATACATTTGCTTTCTTTCTCAGAAACATTCTCCCACTGAAGCTTCAAAATCAATAAGCAGAGAACACTTACCTATAAAAGCTATTTAATTCTGCAGCTCTCAGAGCCCCAAGGAGCTTCCCCTGCCCATCATATAAAGACAGACACAGACACTCATTCCTACCAGTATGTAGATTAAAGGGAGTATCGGTATCAAGCCATTTTTTCTTTCTCTCTTTTAAACAAAAAAGAAATATAGCCATATGGTTCCAAAGTAAAAATGTAAGATGATATACCATAAAAATCTTTCTCTTAACCCATCCTTCTCCATTTTTCCAGCTCCCAGTTCTCTTTCAAGTAGATTATAGTTACAATAGAAATTCTTTATGTGAATCACTTTTAATTCTCTATAATAAGTATATGTTTGAAATGACACCTCCAAAATCCTGGATCATTCTTTCTGAAGAATACTGGTGGTTACCACCCTTCCATATCCCTACAAACTTTACTTTTGTTAACAAGAGTCTCCCCTGGCTCTATGGTCAGTAAAGCCTACTTATTTAATTCTGATTGATCTGATACAAAATATGGTGATTTTCTGCTGTCTAGGTAATCCTAAAACAGTGGAAAATCACTTTTGTGATTTTCTTATCTACTTTTGTAGTCATTTGATAACAAGGTATAATTGTAAATATTAAAATTGTAACTTAGGTGATATACTATATTATACATGTTGCATAGCCATATTACATTACACTTTATGTTTTATTATTGATACTAATAACCACAGTGTTATTTATTGAGGCAGAGAGTTTTTAAGTGCCTGAAAAATACATGTAAAGAAGTTTCTCAACTTGACCCAGGCTGTTGAGTTGATTAGAACATTCAATCCTCAACCAGGGCATATACAAGAATCAATCAATGAATGCATAAATAAGGGAACAACAGATTGATATTTCTCTCTTTCTAAAAAAAATAATAAAATTTTCCCAGCTCCAGCCAAGCCCCGTTTTTACTATTCCTGGAGCTCCATGAGCTTAGGGAGGTGAGAGTTAAACAATTTCCTTACAACTAGAAGACAGGTAAGTGTGGGGTTGGTTGATAGAAGCCCAAGTAAACAGAGAAGTAGGCTGAAGGAGAAAAATTACAGAGAGGAAAAGTAAATCTTTATCTGTGGCTGTGTATATAGCAAGGGATCCATGAAGTCAATGAATAATAAGACAGCAAAGTCTGTTTCATTTAGTTTGTAAGCCAAAAAGGTAAGGCAAAATGTAGTTGAGAAAGTTTCCACAATTCCATAAGACCACATGGAAGGAAAAGTACTAATGATAGGGTGAAAAACAGAGAGCCTTGAGAGAGTGAAGTGATAGAGAAGGTCTTAAAAATAAACATGCGTTCATCCAGGAGAATTTAAAAGCTATTTGAAAATTTCTCACTGCCATTCGCATTCTTATTTTCCTTTCTTCTTACTTCCTTTTCAGTGCATTATCAAATGTAATTATTTTCATTCAGGGAGCAGCAGTTAATGAGTTTGTCTCTCTGAGGAATAGGTTCTGTGTGCATAATGTCTTACCACAGTACAAGTGGAAGAAAGGTCAGTCAGCAGCCAGCTCAAACTGTGAGCTCTGCCCAGAAACCAAACGACCCACCATCTAATACATACTGAAGAAAGTCATTTAAAACCCAGCATACACATGTCCCACGTAGAGCTGCTCCTGGTGGGCCACTCTCAACAATAAGCACATGGCCAAATAGACCTACACCCAATGTCTCCTATCCGTGTTCATACTCCTGCATCTGGACAGCACTTTCATTACAAAGCACCCACCTTTGGATACGATAGGATCTTTTATTGCATTTCCTGAAAACATTCTCAAAATCAGTCTTATCTGTGCACAGACAGTTTAAAGAGCTAGTCTTAATGACACCTAGCCACCCAGTGAAACTGGATGCTGGAGCAAGGAAATAAATATATAGTGTGGTGGAGCCCACTCAATAAATAGCTTTTCTAACTCTTTCCAGTGATTACAGTTTGTTGAGAGGTAAATGGAATAAACCAAATAAATCTAGAAATTTTAAGATAAACACACAAGGCATATTCACATATCCATGAAAGTCCACACATGAAACCAACTTACCTCACAGAGCCCACCAAAGCACTGTATCAGAAGATGTTCAGGTTCACTTGTGACAATATTCCTCTCTACATTGTTTTTCTTGCAATTAATATTCAATTACCACATGACTTTCCTGCAATTAATATTCAATTACCACATGATTTTCCCTGCCCACTCTGCGTCAAGCTGAGAAAAGGCATACCTTGATGCCAAAACCTAAGATAGTTCTCCCAATGGGTTGGACTCTAACCCATCTGACAATGAAAGTGTTGCTGACCAACATTTCTCTACAGTATAACCAACACTCTGTCCCCATCAATTACATCCAGACAGTTTCTTACTGTGTAAAAAAATAAAATAAAATAAAATAAAAAAACTACATTGGCCACTGCTGCGTCTCTTAACTGGACTGTTAAATTCTTAAGTATAGAAAACGTAACTCCCATGCCTTGTCTTTTCATGCCATTGTCTCCTGAAGCATTATTAAAGGCTCTCCTCCTGCCCAGCCCTCCTGCTCTAGAGCTCAAGTACATGGCCACAGCCCCTGTCAGGCAAGTGTGGGCCATGGGTTATGAAGGAAAGATCTACTTCCCCTAAAGTCCTTTTGCTGTGCTTAATTTTTAAAATAAAACGTTTCATTCCACTTTTATACAATATTAATTGAGACAATGAGTAAAAAGTTGGTAGATTTTAAGTTCTCACTGTATTTCCATATATTATGAAATTCTGGATGTTGAAATGAAGAGAAGAGTGAAGCTGTAAAATTGTTTATTCTAATAACTATATTTGGCAGTTGGGAAATTCTTACATAGCACCCCTGCAGTGTACTCAAAACTACAATGCCAAATCTCTTCAGTCAGGGCTCTAATTAAAACAATACTATTGCCTCACTTATGATTGTTATTTCTTATTTTTCTCAGTTGCTTCTGACTTTCTGTTAGCACATTTAAAAGGTTAGCTCCCCTTGTGAGTGGAGAATATAGAAGGGGGACTAGAACAAGGAAGAAGGAGATACAAATAAGAAGAGAATGAGAGTGAAATGGGGGAATCAAACCTTAACAAATGCCTGGTCTGGAGACCATAGAAGTTAATAACTATAATTAGAATTGAACTAAATATTAATATTAACTCTCCTAACTCTTACAAATCCTCACAATGCAAGCACAGTGCCACACGGCATCTCTACATCTGTTTTACACACAGACAGTTCTGTCTGCAACAATAACATAACTCTCACTAGTGATATTTCTGTTCAGTTAGCACATTATAGCCTCCCAGACATAATCAGCAATTTACCCATGAGTGTCTAAAAGAAACTCTTCTTACCAAAATATACCTACAAATAAAATTTGAAAAATTAGATCTATTCTCCTGTATACTGTCTGCATATGTGCTGTGAGAAATTCCTTGACCGACCTCTGTAGGACATCTGGTACCGTTCCTATAACATGTAATTAAATCTGTTATGCTGGCCTCACCTTCAACCCTACTACCTGCATATCAACGCAAGTGGATCTGCCAGCCATATTCTTTTTATATTAAAAGGCTACTGGCCTTCCTAGGTGGATGCTACACTGGGCTAAAGTAGTTACTAAGATCTATGAACTCTAGGGCAGAGGATGTAAAGATATAAAGTAAAAAGGGATACAATATATGGAGATAGCAGCCCCCAAACCGAGAGTCTGCCTTCTAGCTCACTCACTCAGCCTTCCCTTCTCTTCCCCCTTTCATCCTTACCCAAGAGCTATCTAGCAAAAGAAACAAAAACAAACAAATACCGCTAATGGGATAAGCATGTTAAATTGGAAGCAAGACAGTGAAATGTTCAGATAAGAGGATTCTAGACTTACAACCTTCTGAAAACAAGCTGTCTTGTTTTCAGGTCCAATAAACATATACAGAACAACTACGATATGCCAGGTATCGTGCTAGGAGGACACTGAGACTCAGAGACAGTAAGTTCTGAAAGAGCCAGGGTTTAAAAAAAAAAAAAAAAAGCAAATAAATGGCAGAGCAAGGTTCCATGCTCCCATCTTTTATATTTTTACGATTTCATTTATTTTTAGAGAGGAGAGAGAGAAGGAGAGGAACTCTGATGTGGGAGAGATGCATCTATCAGTTGCCTCTTGCACACCCTCAACTGGGGACCTGGCCCTCAACCCAGGCGTTAGCCCTGACTGGGAATTGAACCAGTGACCTTTTGGTTTGCAGGCTGGTGCTCAATTCACTGAGTCACACCAGCCAGGGCCATACTCCAGTCTTTTAATTACAAACCCAATGGTCCTTGAACTTCTTTACTATACATACGTACCTGTCACTCAAATGAACAAGGTCAATAGTGGTGAGAAGGATTCATGTCAGAATCCAAAAGAACCAATAATGCTGAAACCAAATTTTACCATCAAAGTACCATAAATTGGAAAGAACAAGTGAGTAGATTCTGTCTCTAAGTGTGTTCTCTAATGTCTTATATGGGGGAAGAGAAAATGCCTGCATGTCTGTCTTCAAAATGTACTCTGAAGATAAGAGTAGAAAAAGAAAGAAAGAAAGAAAGAAAGAAAGAAAGAAAGAAAGAAAGAAAGAAAGAAAGAAAGAAAGAAAGAAAGAAAGAAAGAGAGAGAGAGAGAGAAAGGAGGGAGGGAGGGAGGAATAAAGAAAAAAGAAGAGTAGAATCAGCAATTTTTTCCAGCACTTGCCAGATGATGGAATCTTGGGTCTTTTTCTTTGTTTGCTCACTTTCCTGCCTCTGATCCCAGTCCTATTTTCTATCTTCTGCTTTTTCAAGGAAAAGCCCTAGTCCCCAGGACTAGCAAGCTTTCACTATGAGCCTGGAGGTTAGGAAGGGGCCAGAAGACTCAGAGGATGGAAGCACTGACCTAGAAATTAGGGTCACCCCGCAGTGGTCCAGGCTCCACCTTTCTACTAAAGCAAACATGTGAGAGGACAGAGCGAATGGAAGGACACACTGAAGAGGAGACCTCCTTCCAATCCAGAGAATCAGACTTGTGTAGATAACTTGCTTCATGCCTGGTGGTATCTCCCAATATTCATAAGGCAGAAAAGGGGAAGAGTATCCAGAGAGATTGCGGTTATTCTGACCTTCCCTTTCCCCTACCTTCCTAGAGACCCAGGCCCTGCATTGCACGTTGAAAGAGATGAGGACGGCTAATCATGTCTTGGAACCTCCTGAAAAGTTTGCTCTGTAAAGGAGCAAAGTTATTGCAAGACTGGCCTCATAGCATGTAGATTAAGAAGTGCAGTGCTCACTAACTTTGATCACAAACAGCATCAGGTTTTACGTATAATCACATAGATGAACATGCTTTATTTCTTTTGAGGTGTTATACAAATTCAAGACATGTAATTTTTATTATCATAATCATTCTATTTATCGTATTCCTGATTCCACAATTCTGTGTCAACTACATTCAAACCTCAAAACCTCCAAAATAATATATCCTTTTTTAGTTAATTTCATCTGTTGGTTTATTTTTGTCATCAAAGTAGCATTTACTGAAACATTAACCGTCAGCCCATATGTACATTTTTATACATGTTTTCATGTTTCTGAAGCAGATGTTCTTTAACTTTCATGAGATTCTCAAATGGCTTGTAATTCCCCCAAAATGTCAAGAAATGATTTCCTTTTTGTTGGATGAAGCGTAGAGGAGGCTCAGGTTTTTTTAAATTTTTTAAAAATTTTAATCACAGTGGACATACAATATGACGTTAGTTTAAAATGTACAACATAGCGATTAGACATTTATGTAACTTACGAAGTGATCATGGCAATTAAGTCTAGTACCCATCTGACATTACAGTTATTACACTATTACTGACCGTATCCCCTATGCTGTACTTTGCATCCCCATGGCTATTTTAAAACTGGTAATTTGTACATCTCAACCCCTTCCCCTTTTTCATCCACCCCCCCAAACTCCCTCTCAAGAGATAATCATCAAAATGTTCCCTGATTCTATGAGTTTGTTTCTGTTTTGTTTGTTCATTTATTTTATTTTTTAAGATCCTGCATTTAAGGAAATCAGATGGGATTTGTCTTTCTCTGACTCACAAATAATATATTTAAATTAGATATTCTCCCTCTGATTATTTTCTCTTCCT